CTTAGGGACATAAAACATTTCAACATAGCATGCTATTTGCGCATGCGTGCTCTCATTAGAAATATAGAGTTAAATTAGTTTTAAATTAATTGATTTTGCTTCAATATTTTTGAGCTTTAAGCGCGGTTCAAAAATATTACTTAGAAGACTCCATTGGATGAAATGCTTATCCACCTACCAAACAAGTCTTCGAAGTTGCTGAATGGTGTAGGTATCTTTTAATCGATTTATGTTCTGCGGCAATTAAATACTGCAGATATTGAACAGACTGCGAAATTTAAATTGCGAGGTGAATGTATAAGGCTGAAGTGAAAATTTGGCAAGAATCTGAGGTTCTTGCAAATAAAATACGAGCAAAGTTCGACAACTCAGCTACTTTGTGAATAAAATATATTTATTTGTATTTTGTATCTTCTTCAAATAAGTGACCAAGCCACTTCTTCACTGAAACAGGAAGTGGTCCTACGGGCGCTAAATCTGAAACTTTAAAAGCAGACAAACAAAGTTCGCCGTACACAACTAAGTCTAAAGTATTTTTGCAAGCCAGTTTAGACTTTTATTTCTGGACGAACTTTAATGATATTTGATGAGCTTTAATTGAGTAATAATAGGGTGGTATGTTAAAGAGATACGAACTGCGATCTGGTGGGTAAATATTTGAACGGGGTTCTTAGGGTTCATGAACTTTGGAACAAATAAGTTGACTTCTCGATACAAAAACAACGATATATCATAGATTAATATCCGCACGTAGACGCCGAAAATATGACGAAAAATTAAAAAAAACTGGCCCCTTCGTTCGGAAAAAAATTTCGAAATTGCCATTGAATCGAAATACTTCCTTAGCAAAAGTTAATTTATTTTTGGCGAACTTTATTTAATTCACATTAGGGTGGTGTGAACTGAGATCTGGTGGATACTAGTACTAGAATGAGGTACTTGAGGTCAATGAATTTTGCAGCTCAACCTTGCCCTTGAGACTTCACTGTAAATGACGAAAATATAACGAAAAATGTAAAAAACCCAATGGGGGATTTTTTGTCCGGTGTTGCAAAATGCCGCTAAAATTTTTTGGGATTCTGGTTCAACTTCGCCAAACATACAACAACCACAGCGTAGCTGTATTTTCCATTTATCACAAAGGGATAAATTTTGTAATATTTATGCTGCATTTTTCCACCCTGGCGATAAACTCGGAGATAAAGTGGTAGAAACTCGCCTAAACTACAAATCCCAGACCAAATCCGAGCGCTTACTCATAGCGGGTTCCGATTTAGCCCCATAAAATCTTCTAGCAATGACTAGTCTTGTCTAATGTACAATTTGCCAATCGGACTGTGTAATAAAGGTTAAACTCCACCTGGATAATCGAGGCTCAACTGTACTTGTAAATGTGGCTGTCAGTTCTTCTTAACCCCCGCATGACCAACAACTTTTTACACGGCCAACTTTTTCGACAAGGTATCCCGCGACCTTCCTAACTAACATGACGTGAAGTGCATGTAATCTATTTTATTTTAGTTAAATTGGATTACTATTATTAGAGCTGGTTGTTTACTAAATATGTCATATTTTGACGAAAAATTTGTCGACGTGTCGACATCGGCTCCTTTATTTATGCCCTTACCGAAAATGGACAGCTAGCCGATTCAGCAGAACACTATCATCTAAACCAATCGATAGAACGTTTTTGAGTCCCACTTGGCTATGTGTTTTCACTTATCTGACGACAAATGCCATTGAATTGGACATAGTGAAAACCAGCCTTTAGGCTTTGTCGGGCATCGACGCCATAGCGAATTCAATCCGCTGATTACGATGAACGGGGTATCTCGGTATCGTGTTGGTGGCTACTTTAATAGATTCTAGATATTCTATTTATAGAAGTCGCGAATCCTGCTGCGCGTAGCTCGAACCAGACTAAAATGCCGCATAGCTGAAGAAGGGCCATTTTAGAGCTTCCGAGTGTTAAAGCAAAGCAGGCGTTCAATCCGAATGACACACATGCTTCCGT